GGTATCATGACTTATGCCGTTTTTCAACAGGCCACTCCAGAAACAACTCGACTGTGTACGGGACTCCGGGGGAGTGAGGCAACGCTGTGGGGAAACAGCACAAAATTTGTTTGCCAATCTCTCCGGGGTGTTTCTTGGACACTGGTGCCTTAATTCTGCGTCAAGCTTGTCACAAATGCCATTCATTCTGAAGATTTTCTTCGCCCTACTTCCGTTGCTACCAGTCATTTCCCAGCTCACTCGCCAATAAACTCTGATAAGGTAAAGGAAAATTGATTAAAAATATACTACAAGTAAAGGAACTCCAATTGATCTGTAATCTGTGCTTCAACATGAAGAATATAAAAATAAACAATGTTTCACTTACAGCGATGCATGTAACAGCTAAGCTTAATCTCAAACAGTATGAGGACTAGCAGATATCATTGTTGAATTAATAATACAGGCTTTAATCAGACAAAGGTTCATAATAATAGATAGAAATTATGCAACTATTTGAAAGGTGGAATTTTCACACCATGGAATGTATTTACGTTAATCACCATCCCCTCTTCTACAACATGGGGTAATCCAAATATTTTTTGAATAAATTTACTCCAATTCCCTGTTACAAACAAATATAATCCTGGCTACGCAGTTGAAGAAATCCATGCGTATAGAAGACTAATCGATAAAGCTCAAGAACTTATGCAAGACCACATCTTTTGATGAAATTACTAGGATTCAAAATAAAAGCATTTAAGAATTTGTCTCACGACCATTTTTAAAATAGAGAGAATGACTTGTGAAAATTTAACAAACACAATGTCTTCACTGTGAAGAGAACAATGCAAAAAATTACTTACTTGCCAAAATGAAATACATTTTAAAAATATAACCATCTTTAGACAAAAAATCATAACAATTCTGTAGTGCTTACAGATCATGAAAGGACAAGAGGACAAACACCCCTTTCAAAATCTGATTTGTCTTGCAGGTTATTCACATCCTCACACCTCCAATCACATTTAGATGAATAATGTTCCTAAAGGAAGTTGATTACAAGAGATCAAATAATAATAATAGTACACCTAATTACAAATGTTTGTAAATCTACTTACAGAAAATAATGTTTGAAAAATTGTGTAACATCACACAACACACTGAAACATTGTCTCATAAAGAACATTTCATATAACTTTACAGATCAAGGGTAAAAAGAACCTTACGAGTTTACATAAAATAAATTACAGTCCATTCAACAAAAGAAATTAATAACAATAAGAAAGGAAACAAGTGCAGATGGCACTACCAACCAGAAAGAAAATATTGTAGGTAGAAGTAGATAGCACTTGCTGACTTTATAAAGGGAACAAAGCTGTTACTCTAGACCGAGCATCCAGTTAATACCATGGACTAGGAACATTATTAATGGTTGCCATGCTGCTAGCCAGCGAATCCAATCTAAGAAATGACCATACAAAATGTGAGGGCGGTCCCACCTGATATCTATTAAGGAAAGATACCTTTCTGAACATTGGCATAAAATAGAGAGCCACAAGCTCTAAACGCTGAAGCAATATTTTGCATAAAAGGATACGGATTGCAGAACATCTTCTTCAGATCCACTTTTTCTTTGCAATAGGGACAAGTCTGCTTTTTCCCAACAATACACCAACCACGTATGCAAAACTCGTGAAACCTAAAAAGTTCTGTAAGGAAATACCAATAATGCCATAGTGCAAATACAAGTACTGTCAATTCCCGATTAAGCGATTCCACTGGGACCACAATCATCGTGTTGACGAGAATTAACTGTAGCTAATTTCAAAACAACACTTGAAAAAAAATTACATGTACTTCAAAAGCAGTAATATAAAGGATACACATGTTGACAAGACAGCTTGTAAGTATTTTCTATCACACCTTCCTCATTCTCAGACACAAGAAGCTTATTGCCACAGACTGCACATACTCCAGTTTCTAAGTGGCGCGTAGGCATACCTTCTTCTGTATAGTACTGAAACAAGTCAAAATGTTGATTTAAATTGGAGGTGGCAACTTTGCAGAACAAAGATTAGCTACCCAAATTTAACTTTATTTTAAATTTTCAAAAAAGTGTCAAACAGATTAGATCTTATTTTACTTACACCAACATGAGCTGCCATTTTATCTGCACAGATTTCAGACAAATCTCTGCCAAGCACACCATAGTACATACTATAAAATACAAGCAAAATAGCGGCATCCATCCATTTGTGTGGTTTGGACGCAAACAAAAGGTTTACGCCGAGGAATGTCATCATCATGATAACATATCCAATTAGACCCACAGCACAACTTAACTTATAAATAAAAAGAAACCATTTGTAGACTAGCCTGGAAGTTTTAAGAAAGGTATGTAAATGAAAATAAAAACAGTAAATAATTTTAAAAGTTATAAAAAAAAAAAATTACCTTGGTGTACTTTGCTGAATTGGTTTTTGAACAGCCTTTGACATAACTAGTCCACTGATGCAGGAAAAAAGGAGCCAGATAAAAATAAAACGCCAGTATTTGTTGTGCATACTTAGCCCCATAGGTATTAGCCACATTATTAGGAGAGTGACAAGCTGAAAATAGTTATTAATAGAGAATTTTAGAGGTGAATTTTTAGAGATTTAATGACAAAGAAATATAATATTAATTACCAGATATGACTTGTTATGCCTTCTTTTCCATTCAACTAGTATGATTTGAGCTGCTATTAAAACAACGATGAAAATAAGAACCATTTCAGCATGCATGGAGTCATGCCCACGATGCTGCTCATATACTTTTGCATGTTCAATCCTAGATATGAAGTAAGACAAAGAAAATTGCATTAGTTACAGCAGCAAAATAAATAATGGAATGAGGAGGGGGAGTGAAAAACAAACCTCCATCTTTCTTCCGGTGTAAGAGCCTCAAGTTCTTCAGCCTATATGGGCAACCAAGCAAAAATTACAAGTAGAAAAACAATGTAAAGAGCCACAAACCTCAAATACAGAACACATAACTGTGCGAATCAAAATACAAGTAATGCAGTATTGACAGGTACTCTTACAACGAGGAAACTGTGTTTTAATAAACTGAGTGTACGACAAATTTAAAACAAACTGTGGTCAACATATAATGTTAACTTACAGATTGTTGTTGGATTAATGTACTCAATAGAAATGTTTTGAGTAAACAAGCTTTCTTCAAAGACAAGTACCATGTAAAGCACAATCGCCAAACCGTCCCAAACTACATCGAGTTGGTGGCACGGCGAATAAAAAAATGTCTATTAAAGAATAAACACTTACAGTAAAGTTTAATGCTTTAATATTTATATGATGGTCCATGTGAGGTCTTTGCGACATTGTAAATTGTGACAGATCAAATGAACATAACCCAATAAATTCGTCACCGTCAAAACTCTAAAATAATGTTCCGGGGCTGCTTTCTGCTATTTGTCAGAAGCAGAGTATGTTTAGATGAACTAAAAGGCGTTCGACAAATCGCCAACACACAACACAAACAAAAGCGTCTCTGGATGGCGGACAGCACCAGGGAGGTGCTTTAAATCAGTCACATAACGCTTTCTGCAGATTGGTATCAAGTTTTGATCTTAAACGCATACAGAGATAAAAGGATTTCCACACAATAATCCCTTTAATTTTTTAAAGTCAGAGTGACAATGTTGGCACAACTTACCAT